GCCTCCAGTACAGTCGATGGAGCTCCCGCACCTACAGATTGCGAAACCCAGACCCCCCTCACGCTTAGATCACAAAGAGAAGAAAGAACAGGAAGGGATTCATACGATCACTGATATCTACAAGGCCAAAAAGCAACCTGGTTCTTGAACACCATCTCATGCTGAATCATGGCGTGCCTCAATCCTTCCATCACGGGGTACTCGTAGGCCGGCGGTGGCGCGTCGTTCAGGTCCAAATCTCCTCTTGTCGACGCCACCATCATCATCTCCGTCGCCGTCGTCATCGCCACACCACCAATGCTCTCACGCATAGCCACTGATGTAAACATTTTGCTCCACGCCTAAAAGATCTCCTGTCAAATAACACGAGCATAAAACATCAACGGGAGCCGAACGATAGATAAGACCAGAAGGAAGCAGAAAGGACAAGCAGCATAAAAGCGCGACAAACCATGGAAGGAAGGAAGGAGGAGAAGAAGAAGAGGCCCCGATCCCGGTTGGAGACTCCCATGAAGAGAGGGGGGAAAGAAAGGGGAGGAGAGGAAAGAAAACAAAGAAAGCAAGGGACAAAAAAAGTGAGGGTGGCGAGGGGAATCTGAGGCAACTGAAATCTAACTTTCGGAGAGAAAAAGATAGGTTTGGGGGAGGGGGGATCGAAATTATTGGCTCTGTGCTGCGCTTCCTGCTTCCCCCTGCCTTTTTTGTTCCCCTTCCTCTCCCTTTAACCTTCTCCGCCCCTCCTCCTCCTCCTCCTCCGTCGGCTACTGCTGACGCCAGGACCACTGCCAAAAGCCGCACCACATGAGAACATAAAGGAAAAGAGACGAGGATGGACTGGAGAAGGAGTCAGGATGTGCGACGAGATGTGCGGGAGCGTTGGAGTCACACACCCACAACAGTAGCATATCGACCACAAGTTGGCCCGGCAATGATCGCTTTTGCTGCTGCTGTTGATCTTCCCGTTCCAACTCACTCGACGCAGGGAGAGCCGTTCCTACTCGCAGAAAAGAGAGGCAGTGTTGTTCATGGCCGGACGACCACCATCGCTTGCGTGCCGGATACCCATCCTGCCCTCGCTGTGGGTGTCTGCGCACCCCTTTCTCCCTGGGATTGGCTCCGGTCGCTGATCTCGAGGCCCAGGAAGGAGCATTTCAGGGATTGGGAAAAGCCATGCAACAAGGCTTCCGAGACCGAGCCAGGACAAAGCAGCGGAGGACGAGTGGCCCCCGGCGTCACCACCACTCCTCCATTCCCATATGGCCAAAAAAGAGCCGATGGCCTCCGTCGCCTTTGACTGCGTGCTCGCAAACAATCTGCTCTGCAGCAGTCTTTGGACGATCAATGATGAAGCTTAACTATGGTAAAACAACAACCCAGTAGTTCCGTATCTATTCCACTCGACGTAGCTCGCTCACTGCCCCCAGTAAACCTCGTTGCGGTCAGTGAAGAAGACTTGGGTGATCTGAAACAAGATTCACATCAAAGCTCGAAAAGAGAAGACGCAGATCATTGTCGGCCTCTCGTTCAAAAGGGGATAAGAACATGAATGCATGCAAGAACAAGTGAATCCAACGCCCAAGATTTACATGTGTGCTAATCTGTGGAACCTCGGAAGCCCTTTGTCTGGGCTTCCATGGATATGTGGTTTGGCCTCTTCCTTGGGCATTGGATTCAGATTAAGATGGGGTATAATATGAACAAATAAATGAATCAAATTGTCGACAAACTGATAGCTCACCACCCACCAACTTGTCGCGGATTCTTTGCAGAGCATTATCTAATCATCTGGACTTGTTTGCAAATCTTATTTCCTCTAAATAAAGGCAAAATATATTTGCCGACAGAGAGATTAATACAACAATATAATTGTGGCGTCTACGAATATAAAATATTTAAAAGAATAAAATTTATTAAAAATCATAACAAAAATATAATTGTGAAATGCCTCTACGAATTCAAGAAAAATCCAAACTCAAAATGCAACCAAGATAATAAGATAAGAAACTAAAAGGAAATAATGATAAGAGAGAAAAGCGAAAAAATAAAGATGGAACAACAAATTAAGATATCCTCAAAGAATAAATGAAAGAGTAACTATATAACAAAAGTGAATTGTGATCGATGTGGCTAAAAATAATTCAACTAATAAATCAGATCAGCAGGTGGTTTAATAGCCAAAGTCGATTAGCAGCAAAATTCAAAGATTAAATATAAATAAATCAATTCTTATATGTGGGTGTGGGTTCTCTTTTGTTAGTGTCCAAAGCGCTGTTCATTTTGGATTGTATCCAATAAATGCCTCCTCGATGCGTCTCAAAACGCGAGCCACTCGCTTTCGCCTGTGCCAGCGATACAAGCGCCGAGGGGGCTGCTCCGTGCACCGTCTCGTTCGACAGGGGGGGGCAAGGGGAGAATGAGACGCTTCACTAATGCAGCAAGCAAAGCTCACCTTTGGGTTCAACTTCTCCGTCGGTAACAAAGAAGAGAGAAGGAAATGAAAGCAAGAAAAAGAAATCTTTGGGGGATAACTTATGGTGGGGGCAAGCAACGCAGAGGACGGACGACTCTGCATTCATGGGGGCGGACAAACCTGCTTGCTTTCTTGTCACCAGCTTATTCTCGGGCCAAACAACGGAGACGTAAAGCATGTTGTTGATGCGTATGGCTCGCAAGCGATCGATTCAGGTACAGAAAGGTAGGTTTATTTTAGGCGCTGTGCTTTGAGAGCCACTGTAGCGGATTCCTCCATTCGTTCTCTTAAGGCACCACGACTTTTTATCTTACTGGGCTTTGCCAGATGGGCTGAGACATAACTGTCACGTTTCATGGACTTCACCAGTGGGGTGGGTTCCACGTATATATATATATATATATATATATATATATATATATATATGAGGTGTTACGTTATTTATATAAATATGTGGTTGATGTGATATTATGTGATAGAAGGTATCGCCCATATGGTCACAGTTAGCAAATACATTAGTGCAAACATGGAGCCTCAAAGTTGAGATGGTACATCATGTCGACGTGGCACCTCGGAGTCGGGTGGGCGATCGCCCCTTCCCGCACCATCCGAAGCTGTACAAGACAACATCGCATAATACAGAGTCACTTCGAAAAGCTTGAAATGGCGCCGTGCGACGTAGATCTGTGTGGGTCGATCGACACTCGCACGAAAGTATAAGCCAATCACTTGAGGAGTCGGCTGCCATAATCAGATCACATATGACCCTCGCTTGTAAATATAAAAGCTAACCTTCTGATCGACATCAGGGGAGAAAATTCTCAAAACTTCACTTGATACTTGACCTTTAGAGGAGTTAAGTTGGGAAAAAACCCCTCTCGACTTTGATTTGTGTGTAGAAACCACGACGACAAAGCGGATCACTCATTGATAAGGAGGATTACGTTCGGAGATGACTCTCAACCTCAACCCGACTTGACGAATGTTTCAATCAATCGACCACCCGCTCCGACACCTCCGTACATTCGAGACTAGGCCGAGCCGTGTTGTCACCTCGGAAACAACATAAGGGTTCGCTAACACTATCGTTGAGTTTTTTTTAATGATAAAATTTGTATATATTATTTTACGATAAAATTTTTACCGATTAAACTAGTTAATATTGGAATCATCAACTTTTGAATGATCATATCATCACCCAATATCGATGAAAAATATTTACGGCAAGAGTCAAAAAGTATCATGAAGAAACCTTGATAAAATCTCTACCCTATACAAAAATATTTTGAGCAATTCACATTATCAAAGTAAATTTTTTTATGATTGGAATTGAGATTGAAAGTTAAAATGCTAGCCTGCTTCTACCCTGAAGAAAAGGCACAAAGACAAAAAGGACGAGTAGAAGCTGGCGGATGACGAAAGGAATGAGACGTCAGAACAGCTGCTATATGTATGCATGTATATGATGAATGGATAGGAGTTGAGCGAAGGACCACTGTTGCTACAGGTACGACACAATTCATCAGCAGGATTGATTAGTTAGCACTTACGATTGTTTGCTGATCTTGATTTCCTAATTATTTTCATTTAAGACACAGCTTAATGAGATAATTATGACCGTGAAATCAGATAACTTAACGAAAATTTCATATCAAGTTTTTTTCTTCGATTAATTTTCTTCTTCCAAACGATGATTTATAGACGAGAATTGTCATTTATATAATAATATAATAACCACTATAATAATATAAAATGTCACGATGCATATAAATAAACCATCTTAAATTATGTGTTCCATATTATATATATATTATGTAAATATTCCTACATTCTAAACCTAAAACTGTGATGATTGATGGCTACGAAATGAGTACTGTCGATAACGATGCGGTCCTATTTGCGACTCAACCATGCATCACGATTCCGATTCCAAACTTACACTTGTATTGAGGTACGACCACGGCATGACGTCCAGGAAAAGGGGGTGAGTTAGGTATGATGTTGCTGCACTCGTCCTCTCACCACGTTATGATATCGTACGTACGTGATGATACATGGATAGCTATTGCGCCATTGCCATATTGCCGATGAAGCCGGTACACACGTCTTTTGGACTCATGTGGAATCTTCATGATGAGTGTTGACCCGATTTATTCTGATAGATGGTGACACTGGGAGTATACAAAGTTTTGATTTTTTCTTTTATCTCTCAATCTTAATACCCATGAACCCTCAATTTAATATCAAAATGATGAGATTGATTATTGATTATATCAAAGTGGATAAGGTGGAGTGTTTGATTCGATACATAAAATTATGTGCAACATAAGTATAGGCACATAGTTGTTAATAATTGATAATTCTATACATTAAATCCTTGTTATCTTTTATGCACCATTTAATATTATGTCGGTTCTAATTGATTCAAGTCTGGATAATGATTCAGATATTTAAGATTTTCTAAATATATTAGTGCATCAATACATCATTAATATGTAAGAGATATAATGTTCCACAAAACTCTCATAAATCATCTGTAACAACAAAACCAAAGTTAATAATGATTAAAGCAAATTACATTCTGAAAATAAGATACAGTAACTTTAAAAGATGATAAAGGATAAACCATATAAGAATAATGATAGGTCATATTATTCTATTATTGACCTATTTACTATATAAATAAACACTAAATAATTTACAAAAGAAAATACTCCTGAAAGAATTATTATCAACACGCCCACCACAATCTTCGTGCGGATGGCAACGGCCCTTGTGGGGCCTCCGTGGCTTTCTCCTTCTCCATCTTTCTTCTTCCAGCATCCACCTTTGCGCAACAAGAACCTGATCGCTCTAAAGCACACCCAAACCATGAAGAGACTGAGGATTCCGAACCAACTCATGAGAAGGATGACAGTGGAGAGCTGATAGGAAAACATTCGCACAATGGCGATCGAGAATGCTACTGCCGTCGAGAACACCGCCAGCCATAGAATCCACTTTAGGATTCCCGTCACAATTTTCTGCTGTCTTGGCACACAACAAATCAACAAAAGAATGATGCTCAAGGATGCAAACAACCCGAACATGTCGAACAGTAGGAATAACTTGACTGCCTCCCTTTCACTTGAACTCCCATCATCTTTCTGCTTAACCCCATCAGGGGGGTTCAGCCCAGCTTCGAATGTGATGGTGGCGATCAACGTCGCCACCACCATTAGTGTTGCTGGTTTGTTGTTGTACCTTTCTTTAGATTCAGACCATACTTTTCGGGGGCTGCAGTCATCCTTAGAAGGTCGAGCCTGACGTCGGAAGGGGTGCCAACGATTTGGTCGGCTTCTGTGTGACGCGACAGTGGCAGAGGCTCTGGCATCGCTCGGTGACGATTTCGGCTGAGTCTTCCCTTCTTCTGCGGCGGTTCTTCCACCTGCTGCCCGAATCAGTTCTCCCAACAATAGATCTCCATGTTGGCAGGGTGAATCCAATAGCATATCAAGGACGGTGTCGCCTCTCATGTTTGTGGCGTTAACTTCGATACCTCGTCTTCCCAGAAGCAACTTCACGGTCTGCATTCAATCGTATTGCCAGAGCTATGAACAGGAAGTTCCTCGGTATTTCCATTTGATTTTTTATGAATGAAATGCAAATAGTATTTATCTTTTGTTGTGAGAAAGCTCTCGTATCAGGAGGTGCAGAGATGCATAAAGACCTGGTGAAAAGAAGAAGACAAATTCATTTCCTCTAATTGGGATCAGGAATACCTACCCGGAGCTGTTTTCTGGCCACAGCAAGGTGCAGGACGGTGTTGCCTTTCGCATCTCCGGAGTTGAGCAGCTCATCGTTTTCACCAGCTCTGTTCAGCAAGAACTGCACGGTCTCGAAGCTGTTTGATTTCACAGAAATATGAAGGATGGAGTCACCTTGCGATGTCACAGCTCGCGCGGACTCCGGGCACGCATCCAGTAACACAGTCAATACATCAAGCCTGCCTCGTAAGGCTGCAGTGTGGGCCGGCATTAAGCCATCGTTGTCGGTCGCCAAGCAGAGATTGGCAGCGGCTGCGTACTGCAGCAGCTCTTTCACCACGGATAAGTGGCCTTGGGCAGCGGCCAGGTGCAAGGTGGAAAGGCCTTCGCGGTTGCGGCCATGCGCGAGCTCCGGGTTTACGGTGAGGATCTCCCGGACCAGGTCGGAGTGTCCGAGCGATGCAGCGATGTGGAGGGGGCTGTCCGACAGGTGAGCCGCGGCGATGGCTTGCCTGTGGAGCAGGAGCCGGTCTTCTTGTAGCAAACGCCGCAACAAAGTGAGGTCTCCCGCATAAGCTGCTTCCTCTAGTCTCGGATCCATGCTTAGTTACACACACACACACTCTCTCTCTCTCTCTCGATTTGGTCACAAACAACTCGAAGTTAGGACGCCTATATATAGGCTAAAAATCTCTAACGATTCCTCCCGCTCGGTCTTCTTGGTCCAGTCTCCATCAAGACGCCGGCCTTGTTGACCAAGTCGTCTCCAAAACGTAAGCTGCTTCTTCTCGTCTTGCATCCCATTGGTCTGGACTTCGCAGAATACTTTTGCTCAGCTTGCTTTCTCGTTCGCCGAAACTACCTAGAGAATGAAGCGAGACTGGGACAGTCGACGTGCGGTATTTGTGTTTGAGAATGTTGACGAAACATGATGGACTTATGATATAGCTTTTCCTAACTTTTCTTCTAATTACAATAATATCTTCCTAAAACCTATCTTCACTTAAATTTTTAATTAGTTTCAGCGAAACATACCTCATCAACACCCTATCCTTCCATCTGGCTGATGATACATCAGGAGGGAGGGAGGGATGGATGAATGAAAACAAGCTTGCAGATAAATCGATATGGAGGCTTGTGATTGGAGCAGTTCCTCCTTCTTGTACAGCCTGTCCTCACCAGACGCCAAAGAGACGACTTGGTCATCGAGCTCACAGTGGCCACTGCAGTCCCGTTTAAATAACTTATCCCAAGGAATCGATGCGTTGGAAACGCAGCGAGGGAGACGAAAGCCGAACGGCGAGTGGGATAGCAACAGCGTGCGCAATTGTTCGGATAAAAATTGGATGGATGTTTTTGCCGAAGTCATCATTTCATCGGATTGGATTGCGGTGCTCACGGGACTGCATGCTGAACGCTTTAACGTAACATCACCTTGGTGTCCTGTCCGGCTGATCAACTTCTTCAACCCTAACAGCGAGACTCGTGGGTCTCCACACCATTATCCCGGTCGTCGGTTTCCTTCAAGTTGTCCGGTTTAAATATTTTGATCGCTTTCTCGATCTTGTCGCTTACGACCATGCTAATTTTTTTTGGATGAATAATCACCTTTTTTTGTTCTCGTCTTCGTTGGACGACTTTGACCTCTTCGGATTTTGCAGCTTTAGCTGATCTAATATAATCTTCTTTACTTTTCAAAAGAAGAAAAAAAAATCATCCACGCTTCGGGACAAGCCGACATGGCTCCATCATCCCTTTCCAAGTAGTTTCAGCGAAAGAAAGATGGGAGCGGAACAAAAAATCTACACAGGGCGTCTCCATTTCAATGATCCGCTGAAGAAATGTTTATCAATATATTAGCAGTCGAAATCTTTCATTTATTGTGAATATTTGGATTGTCCCTTCTCACATTTCGATTTCTAGTATAAATAGTATCATTCAACCGATTACCAGCAAGTTTGGTAAATGGCAAGGCTCCCTTCTATCACAAGCTGGTTGTGTCACCTTGATTAATTTGTACTTAAACTCCATCCCTATACACTCCTTAAGTGTCTCCTTCTACTGTTATTAATAAAATCTCTTCATTAACCCACATATTCCTTTGGTCCAACCATGACAACTCTAAAGGTCTCTTTACTTGCTTTCTTGGGACACCATCACTTTGCCTAAGTTCATTAGTGGCTTGGGCATCAAGGACATGCACATAACCAAATATGCATTGCATGTCAAAAGAATTTTTTTATCTTCCTAATAGTGCTGATATCGTTTGGGTCAAGGTTGCTTATGCTAAGTATGGCACTATCCAATCTTAGAGTGCCCCTTCCCCTTTCAACTCTAGTTAGTGTTGGAAGCTATTTGTG